ATACCTAAAGCTAACCCTACTTACAGCTTATCCGAGGGAGTAGTATAAAGTGTAAAAGGTTTACACTTTGGTTGGTTTCCAATCGTACCAAAGTACAACTACAGTGTACCTTTTACACTTTATACTACTTCCTCGGATAAGCTGTAAGTAGGATTAGCTTTAGGTATAGAAGCGAGTATCGGATGAGCCACAAGTAGGATCATCCCTAGGTGTAGAATGGACATTACGTTCCTTGAGGTAAGATTTACAAACCCCCAAAAACTGTATGCGACTCTGTCGGTAAATCAAACCACTCCAGCATCCCTTTAACGCGATAATGATCTCGTTTTCACCCAAGTCTTCAATCCGATCCTACTTCGGTGCAGATTGAATTTAATTACCGTTTCCGTTGGAAGCAGAATAGAAGCGAGCACAGGCAGCAGCCACGTTTCCAGTGAGTTGCCCAGTGAGCAATGATTCGTCGAAGCGATGTTGAATCGACATCGACCCTGTCAATTTGACGTCGGTTCGCCGTCAATTTCACGGTGCCGATGTAGACTCGACATCGTTTCGACAGTCACTTCTCGCTGGGTAGATTTCGTTCTACGTCGCACTAGGATCGGAGACTGAAGGCCCAAGTGGAAACTAAACCAACGCGGCACTCCCGAGACGAAAAGAGACGGCGTACCGCGGCGCACCTCCATCGTCCAGATCCGACGTTCGTCGAGTGACTCCATCGGTTACCGACGCCGCACCGCGGATACAACGTACAGGCGCGAGTCAAGTCAGCGGCTGTGTCGACGCGAGCGAACCGTTGGAAAATGTACACTCGAGACACACTTGCGACACAACTCGAGCGTGTAAATTCCGCGAATGCAATTATATAAATCGTCGACACTGCACTTCGTCATGTAAATCACACAATTCACTTTGTCACGTTAAACCGCGCGACTCAACCACTCGCGTATTACTCCACGCTCGCGCGAAAGCGGCGGCCAAGCTGTTCTCGAGTTGACGAACGATCGGAACGGCTTTCAAGTTTCCGTCGAAAGATAAGTAATCCGTTGAATAACTCCGTTACTCCAGCGTTCCGGCCGTCTCGTCCGACGGATTTCTGTAGGCCACGCGAGGTAAGCGTCGCGCAACAAGCAACGCTTCGGCGTATTCCCGAGTCGACGCGAACGGCGGAGAATCAGTCGGTCGCGCAAACGATATCGTCGCGATACTTATCGCGGTGTAACACGCCTACGTACGGAGCCAATCGCTCCGTCTGCCTGCCCGCTCGAGCGCCAGATCGCGAATGATAGGGCTGTGCACGCCGGTGACCTTTTTTTCGCCAACATCGCGCGGCGCGCCAGCGATGGCCGTGTAAACAAGGTCGAGCGTCACGTCTCGCCGCCGGTAATATTCACAATAACAATAACGTTTATTATACCCAGCGGTACGGAATCAACGTACGCCGAATATTCCGTTCCCCGTGTCTTCGATGAATGGACTTATTGTCGCGAGATCTTCCGCGTTGTTTCGTGAATCGATATTAGCATGGAGTATAGACGCATGTACCGCTGGACCGCGCACTCCCACCTTGTCCTATTGTTTTGGCTGATACGAGACAAGGATACGAGTCACCATGAGTACGGCGGAGTAGCCTGTTTAAAATAATAGAATATGAACAGAGAACATTAGATTACATGCAATTTCAATGTAAATTAATAAGACTCTTATTTATTTACATTGAAATTTGATGTATTCTAATGCAATCTGATCATATTCTATCTAATACTTTAAACAGGGTGGCCCGTCTTACTCGAGGGAGAATTACTCTGTCGTATTGCAACCCAGCGAGAAAGATGTATGGAATAAATATTGAACTTCAAAATAATATTAGGAGATACACGTTTATACGAATAAATAGAATCGCGTTTTGAATTAAAGGCTTACGATAAACTTAATAAAAGGTTTATATAATCATGGTGATACATTTTACTGAAATTGTCGATTTTTGATGTCATCAAATGAAACTGTAACTTCTGCAAGATTTGTTAGAATTGCATTAAGCATAATTTGTAGAAGTAAAGCTTTTTAAAATAAAAAATCCATAAAAATGCAAATTTTTATTTGTTTAAATGATTGATAAGATGTACGCTAAATTATGCTGTTAGTTTTTAAGGATCTTGTTTTATTATAAAAGACAGGTGGCATTAATTAAAGCTGGTACAATAAATCTTTTATTATTAAACTATATATCCTATATGCGTATAAACCTTTACTCCATTAAATATTTTTATATATATTATATGTATCCGATATATGTATATGGTGTAGTAGCGACTTATTTTATAGTATTTTAGCGTATTTCTATGTTGCAGAAAAGAGCTTACATTACATGTCTTATGTGTCATTATGTGTCATTTTGTCGAAATTTCCTAAAAGCTTATGTTTTAGAAAGTTTCAACTGAGGCAGATAAGTCGGTTTTTACAAACACCTGCGATTCGATCTATAGTAAATTTATGATTAATATCATCAGTATTTCCATGTTAAAATTGCCTTCAACCTCATAATTTATGTCCGTTAATATAATTACAAATGGTTCAAATGAGAGACGCAACAGATCACCGTTGGTTGAACTATATATTGTTACGTATACTCAATAAACGTAAACGTACTCTACGTTTATTGCGTTACACTTGATATGCGACGAGCAAACGAGGAACAACATATAGTTCTTTCGACGGCGATTTATTGCGGCTCTTAGAAATGTATGTTCTTCAGTAATCCGCTTATGAACGGTAGCGATCTTACTGTGGCGGTGACATAATTCAGGCAGTTGTTTACTATCCCGATATTTTTGTAAATAAAATATAATATGCCGAAGTAGAATGAATATACCGCTATGATATGGACAAAGTACATTTTGAAACAAAGATTTTTTATGAAATACGTTTTTAAAACTAAAAAGGAAAAAATAAATATTAAAAATTTTTATTGGCATGAATATGTACATTATGCACATATTTCATTTTTCTTCTGCTTGATGAAAAACTCAAAAACTTTACTTTCAAAAAAGATTCTGGAAAGTGAGTGAATAAATTTTACGGGATTGTATTTATTAATTGTGTGTGAAAACATTATGGTAATCTGCGTAGTGAAAACCTACATTTTTTTATGCCGACGGGCTTTCGGTAGAGTAGACAGATCCTCCTTCATACAATACTGCCGTGTGCCAAGGATAATGTTTTTAATATACTCATCTACATCTATATCGTAATGGAAATTTATAAACATTTCCTTGTCTGCCCCTTGTAATTCCTCGTGCAGTTTGATGAATTTATCGTTACAAAATTTCCACTCTCTCGTGGTAAAATATTGCAACAGTTCGAGACCGTTTGAGCTTCGCTTTTGCAGATTAACCAGGCCATGTTACTTGGGATTGTTTCCACCATGAATTTCTTGGAGCAAAATCTGTTTACTGGAAAATTTCTTAATTGTTATAATAGATTGCGTAATCGTTGCGAAAAAAGATTTATGATTGGATGTTGAAAAACTGCTTATGAGATAGCAGTTTTTCATCAGAATAACGAAAGTTATTCTGCTGGATTTTTATCTGCAAAAGCGTTGTAACAGCTAATAAAAAAGTAAAAATATAGCCATAGCTATTCTAGCTATATTAATTATAGCTGTGAAGTCATATGTTGGTCCTCGTTTGCTCGTCGCACATGCGTATACTATATACGTATTCTACGTTTATTGCGTATATCAACAGGATTTCCATGTTAAAATTGCCTTTAACCTCATAATTTATGCCCGTTAATATACTTACAAACGATTCAAATAAGAACCGTAATAGATCACCGTCGCAAAAACTATGTATTTTTCCTCGTTTGCTCGTCGCATATCAAGTATGTTACGCAATGAATGTAGAATGCGTATACGTTCTTAGAGATGCAACTTCTTCAGTAATCCGCATATGAACGGTAGCGATTTTAATGAGTCGGCAACATAATCCAGGAAGATTTTTACTATCCCAATATTGTTGTAAGTATAATATAATATGCCGAAGTAGAATGAATATACAGCTATGATATGGACAAAGTACAGTCTGAAACAAAGATTTTTAATTATATACGACGAGTACATTAGCATCGACTTTGACATATGACATTTGAAAGTGATTGAAAATTAAAAATTAATTTTAACATTTAAATCTGTTTAAATATTAAGTTTAGCTTTAATGTAAATTTAGAATAATTTTAGTTCAATTGTTATAATTTAATATATATATATTGTATTACTAATATGACATAATGATAATGTAATATTAATTGATTTAATGTAATTTATACACTTATTTGCTCTAATTTGTAAATTTGAAACTATATTCTGAATTTCTCGGAAAAATTTAAGAACTATTTAAACTAATTACATATACGTATACTACGTAATGACTAATATGTAAAATGCAAACGGAAATACTTGTCAGATAAGAAAACTCGTCACTTTTTTATTTAAACAAGTGATAAGTTTAAACAATGTTAAGTTTATCTTACTATCCGTTTCTCTTCTGTTATGTGAATAAATATCTTCTTTACAAAAAGCTCTAATAATAGAAAGTATACAGTTTCTCTTAGAAATGTACAATTGTTACCTTTCAAGTATAAAAAGAAACAATAAATATTCAAAATTTTTATTGGCATGAATATGTACATTATGTACATATTTCATTTTTCTTCTGCTTGTTGAAAAACTCAAAACTTACACTTTTAAAACAGATTCTGGAAGTGATTGAATAAATTTTACGGGATTGTATTTATCGATTGTGTGTGAAAACATTATGGTAATCTGCGTAGCGAAAACCTACATTTTTTGATGCCGCCGGGCTTTCGGTAGAGTAGACAGATCCTCCTTCATACAATACTGCCGTGTGCCAAGGATAATGTTTTTAATATACTCATCTACATCTATATCGTAATGGAAATTTATAAATATTTCCTTGTCTGCCCCTTGTAATTCCTCGTGCAGTTTGTTGAATTTATCGTTACAAAATTTCCACTCTCTCGTGGTAAAATATTGCAACAGTTCGAGACCGTTTGAGATTCGGTTTTGGAGATTAACCATACTGTTTATAAAAATACAAAATAGATCAATAACAACTGGGTGGTAAGATTTATATATACATAGCATTAATATAGTGTTTTAAAAAGATTAATCTTGTAGAAATATATTATAAACATTTTGAAAACTACATTTCTAACAGATATAAGATATTAGAAGATTTTTTAAAAATTTCAAGAAGTGTACAAAACTTACAATCTTTTCTGCAGAAATATTAACATCAGGAAATCAATGAGGTACGCGGGAATAATGTGAAAGAAGAAGATGAAAAGATTATGCACACATTTGCTGCTACGTATATCGCCATCTGGATACCAAATGACTCCATCGAAAGGATATTCGTAAAGGCGCTCTCTGCCCTTCTCCAGTACTTCTGCCCAAGTAAGACGTTTTATATTGCCTTGCGTTACATTGATTACGGGAATACTTTTTGATCTGTAAACGATAGATACCAAAGAACAAATGTGTAACAAATACATAATTTTTTAAGAATACTCTTAAAAAGTCGCCAGCAGTAATTAACAACATCAATGATTTTTATTCACCGTATCTGGCAATTAAAATTGTTATTGCGAAAAATATTACCCCAACCAGGATTCGAACCTGGGACCTCCCTCAATCCGTGACGGGCGTCTTACCAGTTCCCTACGCAGCCCCAGTAGTCGAGCTGGTAAGACTCCCGTCACGGATTGAGGGAGGTCCCAGGTTC